TTACATAGCAAATATCGTTTGTGGCAGCCCTACTCAGAAGCCTGTTAGGGTTTTGCAGCAGCTGGCATGGTTGAAGGTGCATGCATGCTGTGGTGACCTGTGTGTCACAAAAAGGTCAGAGGTCAGACTGGCTGCTTTGTCATCACATGACAAATGTCAGTGCAGAAGGATCATACGATCCACAACACTACCTTAGCGATCTACCAGTGGATTGTTTTTCAGATGCACTCATACAGGATTTGGGGCTTAGCTCTGCTTGGTAGTGATTCAGTTTGGAGGAAATAACCCACATGGGGAAGATGTCTTGGTTGTCCCACCCTAGCTTGCAGTATTCAGTGAGAACAGAGGCGAGTACAGCACAACGTGACCAAGCAGAACTTTGAAATTTTGTATCCTTTTCTGTGTTTTCTAGCCCCCAAACCAGTCTACAGCCAGGGGGTGACATCGTACACGCAGAGCCAGCAGACTCGACAGGTGACTGTGATAAAGCCAGCTGCTCCTAGTCCAGCTTCTTCAACGTTCTCCATCTACCCAGTGACATCTACTGTCCAGCCCGTGGCTGCTGCAGCCTCTGTTGTCCCGTCTTACTCCCAAAGCCCGACATACAGCACTAATGCTGTTACATACTCTGGTAAGCTGTGAGACTTGATCACAAAAACACTGTTGCAGGAACAACTTTTTTACTGTAGTTTGTGAGTAACATGAAGGTGAATCGTAATGCAGCCGATCAGTTGTAACAAATGAGTATATGTGTTTGTTTTTAAGCTGTATGAGAGCGGCAATAACAATGGTAAACAATACGTCTAACATTATTTGATGCTAGTCATGCTGTGTTTACCTCATAGGACAGCCACAGCGCCTTAGCTCTGTTAGCGTAGCTTTGAGACCTTTCGTCTGATTCTGTGTTGAATAGAAATGTTGAATATGGTCTCATTGTGTAAATAAATGTTTTTTCTGAGAACCTTTTGAGAAGTTGACAAACAGAGCAGCAGTAAGTAGGTTTGGATGTTTTTCAGGAACCTCATACTCTGGCTATGAAGCTGCAGTTTACTCCGCAGCCTCCAGTTACTACCAGCAGCAACAGCAGCAGAAGCAGGCAGTGGCAGCTGTAGCTGCAACTGCAGCATGGACAGGCAACACCTTCACTAAGAAGCCCCCCTTTCAGAGTAAACAGCTGAGGCCCAAACAGCCCCCCAAACCTCCTCAGATACACTATTGTGATGTGTGTAAGATCAGCTGTGCTGGCCCACAGGTGAGTTCACCGCTGGGTGCATGGATATCTAACAGCCATGTTTAAATGTAAAACGTCTTGTGATATCTCCACTTGTTTTCTATGGAGTGCCTAATGTTGCTGACATTAATGTTGGCGTAATAAATGATCCCAAACATGTCAGTGGTCATCCAGGTCACGGTGGTCTACCATTCCTGTTCAAACAAACAATCCCGAACATGCAGGGCACTGCACACCGCTGTGTTTGGTAAACCGTTGGTTTCTAGTGAAGCGGTTATTAGCTGTGATGATCATTTAGAAAAACAAACATCCATTTTATTTGGAAAAACACAAAGAGACGCAGACAGTGGAAGCCCTGATGTCCTACTTTTACACTGGGACTTGAAAGCAGCCTACATTCGTGGACCTGTGCGAAGCTTTAAACCTGCCACAAACCCGTATGGCATGACCTATCGGGCGGATTGTCCACACGTATGGAAGGTTTTGTGAGCGAGAGAGAGAGAAGTTGCATGTAGTTTTAGACATCTGTGTGCAAAGTAAGGGTTTGGGAGGGTGATATTATCAGATTCAGGAGCTGAACTTTGTGCATAAATGACCAGTATTTATTCAGGTTTGGATGTGCGCGTTTGTAAAATAGTTTTACGTGTGGTCAGATTGCTTCGTATTTGTGTGGATTAGTCTAGAGGCCGCACACGTGTGGGACATCAACAGTTGCACACAAATCATTGCACACATTTGTAAATTTTAGTTTACGCTTGTGCAGCACATCGTACACGTTTGCAACCCTTTGGAGACAAATTTCTCTCCTTAGCTTTGAGCCTAATCTCCAAAGTAGAGATGGTGTCTGTGTCCTGAATCCAGACTGGAAACTGGTTCCACAGCAGGGGGGCCTGTAAGCTGAAGGCTCCGCCTCCTATTCGACTTAGTAAAGACTGACGACAACGGATGTTAAGCTAAATATGGTGTGTATGGATATGATGCTTGGGTTAATTTCCTGATAACTAATGAACACACAGGGTTAAGTTCAATGCTTTTCACAGTCAATCATAAGATATTTAATTGTTTTATGGTTATTAGTGGACATGGAAGTATTATGTACTGAAGTCAGAGGTAAAGCATGTGCTCAGTGTGCAGTGAGCAGACTGCTGTGTTTGAGGAATCACCGGCCTAAACACCAGAAGCTGCCTGATGCAGAGCAGGTTCAGACATCAGACGTTTGCTAGCAAAGCTTCAGGGATGGAGCAGTTAAGACCAGCTTTGAGATTTTTTACAAATCCCTCAACAAACAGAAAGCCATTCTTTGATGGGGAGTTTATCAGAGCGAGTTGGGTGGACTGACATGGTAACATGTCCTGAGGAGACCGTGAACCATAACGAGAATGATCAAGGACGTTTCTGTAAATCTACAACTTCAGTTGAAGAAGAGCAACATTTATAAAACCTTTATGCAGTCGCTTGTGGGAATGTTGATTAGTGTTTTGTCTCATGATTAATCTGTGTCCCTCCATTTCTGACTGCATAAGACTTACAAGGAGCACCTTGAAGGCCAGAAGCACAAGAAGAAGGAAGCAGCGTTGAAGGTTTCTCAGAGCAGCAGTAGCAGTGGTAGCAGTGGAGGAGCACTGGCCCGCAATGCTCAGAACCAGCTCCGATGTGAACTTTGTGATGTTTCGTGTACTGGTGCTGACGCCTATGCTGCCCATATCCGTGGAGCCAAGCACCAAAAGGTATGATTCACATTGCCATGGTCTTTCACAGCCCACACACTCAGCTGCTAAACCCACAGATGAACAAACGTAGCAGCACTCAGGGGAAGGAAGCAGGCTTTGCAGTGGTGTAAGATTTAGCGTTGTTACAACAAAGAATGAAACACAGCAGTCATTTGAAGAGGCAGCCTATACTTTCTGTCCACGATGATTGTCAGTGCTCCAGCAAACCTGGCTCTACACATCTGTTCTAGTGTCTGCTGTAGAATAATCAGACAGCGTCTGTGCACTCGTTTCTCTTTTCCAGGTTGTAAAACTCCACACCAAGCTCGGTAAGCCCATTCCATCCACTGAGCCCAGTATGGTTACTCAGACATCGTCCACCACGACAGCTGCTCCAAGCAAGACCACACTGGCTACTTTCAGCAGTTCCAGTACCACCAGCTCTCCATGTGTGGCTACCTCCTCCTCTCCTGCCTCCAGCTCCTCCTACCTGAGGCCCATTAACCTGGTTAGCAGCGGCGTGGCAGGTGTTAAGAGCCCCCAAGCCAACAGCCTTTCTGCTGCCAGTGCTGCTTCAGTGGGGAAAAAAGTCAACACCCCCAAGATCAACTTTGTAGGTCAGTAAGTTGTTTAACAGCAGTGCTCTTTGGTCTCATTTGCACCTGTTCATGAAAAATGTGAATAGTTCTGCTTAAAACAATCCTGCTTTCTTTGTGATGAGCTTTCCTGATGATTGGAGGGAAACAGGAAGTGTGGCTTTTGATTTAAAGCAGAGAAACTGAAGTTGGGTCTGAAAATGTTGGTAGTAACAGTCTGAATACCAGAGCAGGAGATTTGAAGGGTTTACCTTTTGTTACTTGTTTAAGAAGTAAATAGGCTGCCTCCTGGTTGATTTCCATGTCTTAATCACTCCTCTGCGTGATTTAAACTAAATGCCACCCTGCTGTATTTCACTCCAGCTGACTTACTGGCAGGAAGTGTGGATCATGTCCTCTGGTGCAGCTTTTGTTGTTGTTTGTTTTGAAGCGGGTGGAACAAGCAGTTCAACTTGATCATATTTATAATCCAAACATGAATTAATGGCAGGACTTCAGGCAGTGTTGTAGGACTGGGTTGTGATTGATAGGGGAGGGATTACTGAAGTTAAGCTGCAGGCAGTCATTTTTTAAGTTGACAGAAAAACACTGACAGTAACCGTGTCTCATCAACAAAGAATTAATCCTTTCTTTTTTTCTTTTTAAGACTTTTATTTAACTTTTTTTCCAACAAATGCAAGACTGGTTCACATCCAAGATAGTAACACTGCACAGCACTAGCATATTACACATTCTCCAGAGTCCACAGAGAACTTGTGATAATTTATGTCCATCATTGTTGTCCATTAGGATCCAGTTTACAGGTTGCCTCCAGTGCTTCCAGTGGTTTCTTCCATTTGTCCACAAAAATTGGGGAGCTCCCATCAATATAGTGTCCCAACCTGATCAGAGTCATAACTTCAATGATGAGCGACTTCCATAGAGGAATGGAGGCTCAGCCGCCACCCATCTCAACATAATGCTTTTCCTGGCCAATATTAACAGTGACTGAATTACATGCTCATGTTGTACCAGTGAAACAGGAATATATCTCAATAAACACATTAATGGGTTTTCTGTCACCTGCTGACCAATGGCTGTACTAATATTGGCGCAGACCTCTTTCCAAAGTGACTGGATAATAGCACATTCCCACAAGCAATGGAATCGAGTGCCCACTCTGGCCTATACAGAGAAATATACACATTGTGAAAATTTTGTGCTGCAGTTCTTTAAATCGGTTACAGAGATTTTAGATGGAAGGACAGGATTTTGTCCCATGCTTGTGTATCTATTTCACATTTAAGCAACGTTCCCCAAGATTTTCTCAACCATGCCAGTTTATCCACAATTAGGGCAAAAATCTCTGAATCAAACTTTGATACAAAATGTTTATGCTCCCTTTTATCCAGAAGAAATTTCTCCAACCGAAAAGGGGCTGTTGAGATTTGTAATGATTTAGCATTTTTTAACACATAATGTCTCAATTGCAAATACTTATAAAACTCAGTCTTTGACATTGAATACTGGGACTTCAGGGATTCAAATGATTTAAACTCACCATGTTTAAAGCGGTCATAAAACCTCTTTACACCTACTTTATGCCATCCCACAAAGCTCGACACTGTTTTGTGGCAGAAGGTCTGAATTATTTATAAACGTTGACAAAATATTAAACAGATGACTACTGTTAAAGTTTTCTCAGTTTTTCCCACGTCCACATAGCATTATATATCAGTGGGTTATGCTTTATTTAGTAAGTCATTTAGGCGGTTCCCTAGAAAGCTAACAGGTGAGGATGGTTTACATAATACTTCCTCAATATTTAGCCGTGGCAGCCCAGAATGATCATGTATCCAGGAAGAGAGAAACCTCGCTTGTATTGAGCAGGGCTGTTTGATATAACGATATAGATCGGATGATGACGATATAAAAACGTCGTTTCATTTTACGCTATCGTTTGTTTTGTGGTGTCGCAAAATAAACTGTTTACGGCACAGAATTCACAGAACTTACAGAAAATGTTACATTTTTGTGATTTATATCTTTATCGGACGATAGATGTTTTATATCGGGATATGAGATTTTGGTCATATCGCACAGCCCTAGTATTGAGAGAACATAATTGTTTGGCACTCCCCACCCGCCCAGATCTTTCAGTAACTGTAGTGTCTCCAATTTAATTTTGGGTTTTCTTCCTGCCCAAATGAAATCCACCATAGCCTTATTATTACTTTAATGTCTTCTGTTTTCAAAATTGCAAACAACATGCCTGTGGGATATAATATTTTGGGAAGGATTACCATCTTAATGAGATTTATTCTTCCCAGAAATGATATCGGAAGTGACCTCCATCTTGTCAGCTCCCAAATATACAAAACCTGATGGTGCCCAGTGAAAAGGTCCCCTTCACTACACAAAGTCATTA